TATAAACTTCTGCCCCCTTGGACCTTCGGAGGGCCTGTCTTCTCCTCCTCCCCAGGTCTCCAACGACCCAGTTGCGCCCTTGTGTGTGTGCACGTGTGGAATCGGGAGTGTGTCTGTGTGTGTGTGGTTGTGTGTCAGTGTGTGTGCGTGTGTGTGGAACTGGGTGTGCGTGGAGCCCCATCTGCGTGGGACCCCGCCTGTGTGGACCCCCAGATGTTTGTAACGCCATGAGTGTGTGTGTGTGTGTGTGTATGTGCTTGTGTGTGCAACGCTACGTGTGGAACGCTGCGTGGGCGTGCGTGGGGACCTTTGTGTGTGGAGCCCTTATCCGTGGATGTGTGGGCACCAGTGCGTGTGAGCCGACATGTGCGTGGGACCATGTGTGTGCGGGACCGCATGTGTGCGTGTGGAGCTCCATGTGCGGAGCCGCTTGAAACCCAAAGGAGCCCACGCGTCCACCAGAAATTTTCCAGCCCCCCATGAAGTGGCCGTGGAGCCCAAGCGGGCACCGAAGAGTGCGCGACGGGGACACGCGGGGCGCTCCAGAAAGGGCTTCGTGTTCGAGAATCGACGGGTTTGTCATCTCTTCCTCGGCGGAAGGTTGACGAAAGCCGGCGCAAGTAAACGGCGGCGGCTCCGCTGGCGGAAGCTGGCGGCCAGCGGAAGTTGGCGGAAGTGAAAGATGCGCCCCCAAGAGATGGCAAGGTTTTTGGTGTAAGGTTTCTGGAGTCGGCCACATACGAGTCCATTCGAACCCAAGCGATCTCGATACAGGATCCCACGGTACGGACCCAATCGGTCCGAAGATCGTGCGACACGGCCAGCTCTTCCTTACGACAGAAGTAAGAAGCCCTCAGTGCAAGCACTCGTTGGAGAATCGCCAAAACGCCCCCGCCCGTCTCCCCCACGGGGGTATGCTTGGGAGGCTCCGTGGCCACCTTGAGCGGTTTTGGTGCCATCTTCGGACATTTTAAAGTCATGCGGAGGCTATTTGGGTCCAGCTTTGGCCATCTTGGCCATCCTTGGAGGCCATGTGGGGCAATCGTGGAGCCATCTGAGGCCATATAGACGCCCTGACCGTTCGGGAGGCACTTGTTTGTTGTGGCTGATTCCTCCTGCTAAAGGGGAGAAGGGCTTTGGGAAGAATAGGTGCTCCAAACCGCCCGCGCCCAGAGAGCTGGTGGGACTTGGATCACTTCCTCCTCTCATGTTTGGTTATGTTGCTCGTTTCGCGAAGTATGTGGCAAGACGTTCCCACCTTTTCCCTGACCCGGTCCCCAGTGGCTAGGGGTAGGGGAGGGAGGAGGAGGACGAGGAACGAGGGAGAAGGCTTGCCAGCCCTCTTTCCGCAGCCATTTTGGTTCGGGCACTTCCTCCTCGGGGCGGCCCAACGGAGGCCATCCCCCGCACGCGCGATGAGTTCTTTTGAAGGTCGCGTGTCCCGAAGCGGTGGGGTCACCACGCGGCCCGGCGAGAAAAATGTGATCCTGGGACTGGGGGTCAGGACTGGCCCCCGAGGGTGTCTCGAGCGGAGGGGGGGGGCACCCCAGCCTCGAAAAACAGCCTGGCCACAGACGGCCCGGTGAGTTTTTCGGCTCTTGCACGGCACTGGGCAGCATGCCACCCGATTGCTTTAGGAATCCTGCGAATCGGACGGGTGGCAATGGGGTGTGACCTAAATTGGCGGTGAAGAGAAAGGGTCCTAAAGGGGCCCGTTTCTTCACCCCCAAGTCGGTCACCTCTCATTACCACCCGCCCGAGCGAAGGTGACAGAGCACCGCGGCCTGCTGATGTTGACGATGACCTCGCGGCGCGCCGACCTGGCGTCTTGCAGACCCACTGGCCGCTGGCGCGGATGAGCACCGACGAGTCCTGCGCCCAGCGCGCCACGGAGCGGGGGAGGCTCGGCGGCAGTTCCCGCGAGGGGCCCGTGGAAGCCCGGGCGCCAGCCGGGGACAGCTCCGAGTGTTCCCGCTCCAGTTCAGGAACGAGGTCCCGCGCCAGCTCGTCTACCGAGGATCTCGAGGTCAGGGGCAACGTTACTCGTTGCTCCTACGTCGTGATAGTTTGTTGAGTTTGTTCGGTGAGGCAGTTGTTGTCGACGCCACCGCCAGCTTAAGCAATGCGAGAAGTAGGGTTGGGCGATTCTTACGCCGGCCCCTTTCCAACTCTTGATGTCGCACGAGGGCGCTCAGTGGTTCACCAAAGGCGCCGTCGCCCAAATGAGGATCACCGATTTCCGCATTTCGCATCGATGGCATTTTCAAGCGACACCGTCCCCAATTTGTTGTTTGCGTCAATTAAAACTTGACGGTCGGGGGAGATAGGCTCAGGGGGAGATGCATCGACCCCCAGTCGCCCTCATCGCCGACAGTGTCCCGATAGCTCACCCTGCCCAGGAATGTGCGGATCCGCTATTCGGGGCCCATCGCCGACCTACCGGCAATGTATCGTCGTCTGCAGGTCGATGTTCCCCTTCCTTGAGCTGTTTCTCCTTCGTCGTTGCGCCTCACGAGGTCGTCTGCACGATCCCGCCGCACCTGGGGTCCGAGGACAACGCCGACAGGATCATCCTGGCGGTGGGCGGGGTGGTCGGATCTGCTCTCCACAAGGTCAGCTCGCAGCTCGGGCTGGCGAACGAAGGCAGCCAGTGCGACCAGTCCTGGCTGGGCTCCGGCTGGGGGCGGGTCCCCCCTCAGCGCCAGTGCATAAGGCAGGTACGCACCTCGCCATCTCTACTTGCGCTGGCCAGCGGGGAGGATCGCAGGGACACGATACACCACGTCATACAGTAATTCGGCCTGCTAAGCGGGTATCCCACGGAAATGTCTTCTCCCCCGATGACGCCAGAAGCTCTGGGGCGCCGTATGGCCCTCAAGGATCGACGAAGAATCTGGCCCAACATTTCCTATAGCAACATGTATTCGTATGTGTCTTCTGCATGGCTGGCCGAGGAGCCAAGGAACTCGGCCGGGGAATTCGGTGCACAGACGCCCCAATCCCCCATAGGGTTTGGAAGCTGGCTCGTCCACACACCGAGCTCCTTGGCCGAGCAAGCGACGTGGCGCGTGTTTCCACACATCCGACGTCATGATTCTTCCTAAGCGTGGGCCTCGGGAGGTCTAGACCTCTTCCCCGGGAGCGGTTTTTCATCCTGAGCCGTTTCTACACGGTGCCGGGCCCAGTGAAGGCCCCTCGAAACAGAACATGGCCCAAACCCTCCCGTCACGCATGCCCAGACATCCGACGTCTTGAGGTTCTCAAGGCGGGGCCCCTGGAGGTCTGGACCTTTTCCCCAGGCCGGGGCTTCATCCTGAGTCGTGTTTTGGTGGTCCAGGGGCCCAGCGAGGGCCCCCAGATGCCGACACATAGCAAAGCAGCCAGAGTTTTTTGCTGGGACGCGAGAAGGCTTGGATGGCGCATCGACCGCATATAGCCAAGTCCCAGGTAAGGGGAGCCGGTTGATGGTTGGGCCCCGACGGCCCAAACATGTATTAGAATAGCTACGAAGAGGTTTGCCGTAGCTGGTGTTTCTTCGGGTGAAGGCAGTTCCGCTTAGTGGGAAGGGGCAGGGGGGCGCCCGCCAGCATTCATCACTAAACCAGGTCCCACCGATTCTGGGGCTCACGTACCTGGGGTCAGCGCTAACGGGGGTTCAGCCAATCCCCTCCGAGATGCTCTGGCTGACCCGGGTTTGGGAGCCACCTGGAGCCGACGGGAGGACTTTTTATATGATGAGGGCGGCGGTGAGATCCATGGCATTTTCAGGATTGGAGTTCTATTGGATTCCAGACGCTGGATTCCTTCTCCAAAGCTCCCTATTCCAATGCCCTCACCGTAAGCGCAGCCCCGCCAACGCCCGAAGTCGAGCCCCGCTCTGGGGAGGAAACCAAAAGGCACCGATACCGCTACCCCCTGGACCTCTCCCGGTGTGCGTTCTGACCAGGACTTCGAAGCGAATCCAGCGGTGGCGACGAGAGCCTTCCAGGAGGCCGAAAAAGGGGAAACGAGGGAAGGGCAGCGGTATCGGAACCTTTTCCTCCCCTGACTCTCAGGATCACGGGCCAGCCTTGGGGGGAAGTGGGATTGGGCGGGCCGTCTCAGAAGGCTCAGAAGTCTTCCGGCCTTTTGAGAAGTTTCTCAGCTGTTCCCCGAAGGCACCAGTGGACCTTTCAGAAGGTCCGAGGCCTGCTGAGAAGCCTTGCCGCCTTCTGAGAAGGCCTTCTCCCTATGACCTACCCCCCTCAGGAGGAGCTGGCCCCGTCGTCGCGCAGCCCGGGGCCTCGCGCTGGCCGGGCTGGGCGCCTGACAGCGGCGGCGCACTGGGGCTCTCGGGAGCGCTGGCATGGCGGCCGCGCCTCGGGCGGCCCCGCGGCGGGGCTGCTCGGGGAGAGCGTCGGCAGCGTCTGGCAGCAGCGAGCGCCAGGCCTCCAGGCTGATGGTGGCATCGGCGACGCCGAGAGCGGCGCGATCGTCAGAAGGGGGAAAGAGCACCCATACCGTTACCCTTTCCTTGTTTTCGCCGTTTTCGGGCCTCCTCGGAGGCTCTCGTCGCCACCGCTGGATTCGCCCCGAAGTTCTGGTCAGAACGCAACCCAGGAGAGGTCCGTGGAGTAGCGGTATCGGTACCTTTTGGTTCGCCCAGATGAGCGGCGCGCTGGGCATGCCGCTGCCACTGAATCCTCTCCTGCGTCGGGGTGCGCACGCGCTGGCACGGACGAGCCCAGGCGAGGGCTCTACGAGCAGTTGTGACCTGCGCACAGGGCGGGGCGCGCCGCAGCTGCTGGACCTGGCTCCGGCGAGGTGTAGCGTGCAGCAGAATGTGGAGCACGCCGCAGAGTCCAGGAGCTCCATCCTCGACTTCGAGCACCTCTTCTGCCAATTCTATGTCGGAGTTACCCTCAAACGCCGACGGAGATGCGTCGCAGACTTCATCCGCTGTGGAAGCTCCATCAGCAAAGCTCCCCAGCCCTGCCTTCCCGACGCGCTCACCATAGCCAATGCGTGGAAGGCAGAGGCGTTGGATTGCCTGTGGAATTACAGGGCTGAGTTCCAGCGGAGGTGGCCGCGCATGTCACTCTCGAAGAGTCGAGCTAGCTTCGAGAGGAAGCTCGGGCCCCTGCTCGAAGCAGAGGTATCTTGGCGGGAGGAAGTGCGAGGGCCTCACAAGCGCCTGGTGCTGGCACTTGAACCAGAGCGAGTCTGCCACAGGCTCATCTGGGCCGTGGGAGACGCGATCCCGCCAGAGCAGATCCTCTTCGACATCCAGCGGGGCCTCAAGAGGCGCTTTCCACATTGTAACATCCGATGTGCCGACGGTCTTTGGTCTTCGGCTGGCATCTTCCAGATCTTCTTCATCCAGCTGCCTCTGGCAATTCCGCCACCGTGCCAGCGCAGCATGGAGCAGGGGTGGTGTATGCGACGGGGCGCAGAGTGAGGGGTGGGTGGGCCCCATAGAAGACTACATAAACCCTGCCATACAGCAATTGGCATGACGGGAAGCGCCTCCGGCGTGGACCGTTTTAATGTCTTGGTGCAGTTTTCCTTAACCAAGGTCTGCGGGGCGCACTGGGCAACACGGTGGCGGGCTTCTGAGAAATGGCCGTTTCGCTCGTCGCCGTCATCCTCACGAGGCCACCTGACAAAATCGGCGCTTCCCGTTCTTGTCCGATCAGGTTCTTCCACGCTTCAACGTGCCGGGAGGCACGGTGGCGGACTCTCTTCACAATCCTGCTGCTGCTCGGCGCCCGCTCCCTGCTGAGCGCGGTGCCCGCCATCCAGCAGGCCATGGCGGCCCCGACCAGCCCCAGGGGGCAAAACGTGGACGTGACGGTGCTTTCCCGGGAGGATCGAACGCGAGCAAACCGCATACACCAGAGGTTGCCAGAAAGGTTCGTTGCACAAAGATGGCTTCGCCAGACCTGAGACCCCCCCCCATGTTTGGAGGATGTATCAGGCGGCACGCCTGTTTTTGCAAGCGAGAATGATGGCCAATTCTTGATTTGGTGAGGATGCCCCTAGCGAAATCGTGATTGTCGGTTGTATTGAGGGCGTTCTTTGGGTCATAGTGGGGCTCGGTGTGGGCTCTCTGAAACCGTCCTGATGCCTTCCAAAACCAGTGCGATATGATGTTGGACACATCCGTTTTTCTGAAGGATGTCCCTAGCAAACTCGCCATTTCAGAAGGCTGGTTTGGGCCGTCTTGACGCCTGTGCGACAGCGGTTCCAAGACGATGTTAAAACATCATGGTCAAACACGATGGTATCGTGTTTGGCACTGCTTGAGGATGTCCCTAGCGAAATCGTCACTTTCGGGAGTCTTCAGGGCGTTCCTGGGGCCATCGTGGGGTCCTTTTCGGGCTATTCTCCCTTCGTCTTGAAACACTTTGGTAAACGATATCGAAGCGATGTGGGGAACATGCTAATGTTTTGAGGATGTCCCTCGCGAAGTGGCCACTTTTAGAAACGACGACCAAGATACAGCTAAGATGGTCTGCCGTGCTCCTCCCAATGCTCAGAGGATGTCTCGCACGAGAGCGTATTTGTCAACATAAGAGGTATTCCACCACCTCTGCCGACTTGTTCTTGTGGCGAGGATGTCTCAGGCGAAACGCTCATTTTCGGAACTATGAACACTTCGCGACTTCCCAGAGCCCTCTCCCCGAGCACTAGCCCTGGCGGCACTGACTTCACACCCGATGCCTTTAGTGCCGAGGCTCTGGAGGTTTGAATCTTGAGCCTAAGTGATGGCGGGGCTTAGGAGGAACGCTGGTGTTTGTTAAACGCGATGTCGCGAAGATTTTGTTTTTTGCTGTGAGGATGTCTCAGGCGAACATGAACGGGAAGCGCGTGAAATCGAAGAGCTCGGCAAGAACATGCACCCGCATCGCGATCGGCTGTACCATAGGCGCTCTTCCCGAGCTTCAACGGGGGGTACGTGGGTGCCAGGTGGAGTTCACCTCCCTCGCAAGTTCAGGCAAAGCCCCAGAATGTTGAAACGCCGCACAGGTTAAGCATTATTTTCACCTTTTGGAAGACCAGTCCGAAGGCAACTTAAAGATATATCGAGCGAACTTGGCAAGATAACCACCAGCAGCACTATCAATGGTAGCGTTGGCGCTTTCCATGAACGTCCAGGGGGATAGCAGGTGGATTTCATAATCCCCGCAAGTTCAGGTGAAGCCCAAGATTGTTGACGAATGCAATGGCGTTCAATTCTTTGTATTTGTTGACGCCCAACCCTAGTGACCCTAACCCTACATACCCTAATTTACATCGGAATGCCCATCATGAATTGATGGTTTCAAGGGCCCGTTTGAAGGCATGATTGGGAGGATGTCTCGGGCGAACCGCTAACTGCTGAACGAACGTGTTAAACACCCATGGGCTGTTCAACACTTCGGCTTCTTGGGCCTTTTTGGAGGTCATCCAGAAGCGTTCCGAAAAGATGCCTCAAACGAGCTCATGGCGCATCCCAGTTGTTTCGATGATGTCTCATGCGAAACTGGTATGTTTGAAGGTCCGAAGATTAGGACAGCGATTTCAACATCCCCATGCTCCGAGGATGTCTCGGGCGAAACGCCATTCGATTAGCATATGACGTCTTAATATACGACCCTCAATATCGTGATGTGGCGAGGATGTTTCAGGCGACACGCCCTTTGGGAGAACCTTTCTTGACATTCACGGGCAGCGCGTGAACATGACGAGTTGCGCAAGAACGTACACCGTCGCCACGCTCAAATCTAATGTAGCCCAGCCCTCCGAACGTTCACAAGGGTACAGATGGGCACGCGCTCCCCGAACGTTCAGGAACATGTAGCTGAGCTTCCCTTTGCTGAGTAGTATCCTCCAGTTTCCTCAGCCTCCCCCTCCTTTTTTATCCTCACCTGTATCGTCGACAGTGTCACCGCGATCAATTGCAATGTAGCCGAGCACTCCGAACTTCCACAGGGGATACGTATTAGCACGCGCTTCGGCTGTCTGCGGTCCTGCGTTGAACTCGCGCGGGCGGTGACCTGCACCCGACGTTACAAAGGACGCGGGCAACAACAACATCGGTATCAACGTCATCACCCTCCTCATCATCATCAGCAACAGCAACATCATGATCATCATTACCATCATCAGCATCAGCATCAGCATCGGCATCTTCGTCGTGATAAGCTGTGATTCTGAAGCCCCGTTCGAATGCATAGTTGGGGGATGTCTTGATGGAGACGCTCACTTTCAAGCACAAGTGTTGAGTCAAGAACGCTTCGAACAGACGTCTCAAAACAGCTATTCCACCATCCATTGTGTCTGAGAATTTTTCAGGCGAGAGGTCAGTTTTTGAAGATCGGAGCGTTTCCCGGGCTATTTTGAAATCACATTGTTTCGAGGGTGTCAGCAGCGAGAGCTTCATTGTCGACAAGACATGTCGTATAAGAGACCCCTTCAATATCCCGCTGTTGTGAGGATGTCTCACGCGAAACGGCGATCCTTGGGAATCCGCCAGGTCTTGGGCCACGGATGGATCCCGAGCCCTTCCCCCCCTGCACCCCCCAGTTGCAACTCTGATTTTTTATTTTACCATCCCAGGTCGACGGCCACGTCTATCGCGTGACTCAGTGCGCTTCCCGTCATCCGCTCAGTCGGTGTCCCGTGCGATCCCGAACGGTATAGTAAGAATAATGTTTGGCACATGTTGAGACCTGTTACAGATTCAGCAAGCACGTCCTGTTCGATTCTCGTTCCTCGGCGCTTCCCGTCACCCGCACGGACCTGAGCAAGTTTGTGCTGACAGCGTTTTTCCTGCTCCTCGAGAGGAGAGAATGGACCAGCTTGCCGCGCGCCTCTTGCTGACAGGCAGCCTGATGCAGCTCTGGCTGCTGCACGCCGTGGCCGCGGCGTTCCCGCTGCGGTCCCTGCACAGCCCCTTCAGGCGGGACCTGGGCTGCCTGGCCGCGTACTCCCGCACCGCCTCGGTGCTGTTCCGCTACCTGGGGCCGCTTTCCGCGCTGCCCCTGCCCGTGGCCATGGCCATCCGGTGGAACCGCATGGGGCGCTGGGTCGGGCAGATCGCCGTGCTGCTGGCTCTCAGAGGAGGAAAATGTACCCATACCGCTACCCTCGCCCCGTTCTCCTCTTTTCGGGCCTCCTGGGAGGCCCTTGCCGCCACCGCTGGATTCGTCTCGAAATCCTGGTCAGGACGCACCCTGGGAGAGGTCCGGGGAGTTGCGGTAGCGGTAGTTACCGTTTGGTTTCCCCAGGTTCCCACTGCCGAGCGGCAGGTGGGCTGGCACACCCTGTCCTTCTGTTGGGCGGCGTCGCTGCCGGTGCTGACCACCGCTGCTGCCTGGAGCGTGCGATCTTCGCTCTATTCGCACCACCACCTGTTCATTACCCTTACCTTCCTCTGCCACCTGACAGCCGCACTGTGTTTTGCTGTCTCGCTCGAGCTGGTGAAGTGGGCTGTGCTGGGCGTGGGCGGCATCATCGCGATCGGTGTCCTCCTTTTCGCGAGGTACACCGCTGAGTTTACGAGTGGGAGCCTTTTGAAAGCGGCTCAGCTTCAGTGGGCTTGCGCACACGTGGTCCCTATTCTAGGTGTCGTGCTTGCTGCCGCTCTGGAGGTGGAAGCAGGTGTTGCGATGGCTCTCATCGAGTATATCTGCGGGAGCCAGGACATCGTCCCGGTCAAGATGTGCATAAGGATGCTCAGGAATCCTTGCTAAGTTCGGTTCCAGAGTTCGCCCACAGTAGGTACACACGCTCGACTTCATCGCTTTACTAGAAAGCACCATCTGACACTTCATATGTATACCCAGTTGCCTGCGGCTTGTCCCGCCACAGTGTCTGCCCAGCAATCTCAGAAGCCACTGTTCGAGGGGCGACCGGAGGCTGTAGCACGTGAGTCGAGCGGCGCTTGGAGTAACGGGCATCATGCTGTCACACGTTATACTTCGGCCGTTTTGAGTTTGTCTTGGATCATTTGTGGTCGACTTTGGGGGAGAAGGATGATGACGGATGCGATGATGAGAAGGCGGAGATATGGAGGATGAGGAGGAGGATGAGAAACATCATGGGGGGATAAGGTGAGGAGATGGATAATGAGGAGGCGCATCGCAGCGCACGACTGCGATGTGGAATGGAGATAATGTTGAGCTTGATACCATACAGGCTGTCTTGGGGCTGTCGTGGGCTCATGTGGGGCAATCTGGCGGTCCCTTCCAGCCTTCTTGGACCGTCTTGGGGTCCTCTTGGGTCGTTTTGAAGCTCTCCTGAGCCGTATCGAAGCTCTCTTGGCCCTATGGGAGGGAGGTCGTCTCTTGGGGCCGTTTTGGGGCCATCTTGGGCCATCAAGGGGCTCTCTAAGGCCGTCTTGGGCCCCTCCAGAGGTCCTCTTGGGCAGCTTGACGGCTCGGCCGTCTTGAGGCCGTCTTAATGTAAACACTTGGGCCATTCTATTTTCGGGCCGTTTTGGGCCTTCTTGGGGCCATCTTGGAAGCCTCCAGGGCCCTTGGAGCTCAACGCCAGAATCTTTCAATTCAAACACATGGAGGATCGACGATGCTGGCTTTTCGGGGCCCTAATGGGTGTTCTCTTGTGGCCCTCTTGTGCTGTCTTGGAGGCCTCGTGGGCCGTCTTGAGACCATCGTGGGCCGTGTTGGGCAATCTTGGGCCTTCCGGAGGCATCGTAGGCAATCTTGGCGGCCTTGGTTGCCTGCCTCCGCCATCTTGGGAGCTCGGGAGCGGATCCATGGTGTTTCACGAAGGATCGTTGCCTCGGAAGCGCGCATCCATATTTGTTCAAGCTCTCTTGTGTTGGGTTCTCGTTCTGAATGGAGCGCTGTGGTCTCCCGCCTCCCTTTTCCTCCCCGCCTCCTGCCTCATGCGCTGCTCCCTGGGTGGCTGTGAACTGCGCACCTGCCGCCACTTTCGTGGGCTCCTGGGCGGTCCAGCGGAGTCGGTGGACACGCGCACCCACACGAGACCTCGCTGCTCCCTGGGTGGCTGCGACCTGCGCAACAACAGTGCTGCATATCTCTCAATTGTTTGTAAGCGGTGCTCCTTTTCATTGTCGCCTTGCGTGGGGAAGAGTTTGGGCATGTCTCGGTTAATTGTTTCCAGGGATCGTGGCCTCGGGGTCGCGGATCCATTGATTTTCATCAGGGGTCGTGGTCTCGGGAGCGCATCTCCCCAGTTTTTTTCTCACAGGGGATTGTGGCCCTGGGAGCGCGGATCCAGCGGCTTCGACAAGGGAAAGGGGGGGGGGGAGGGCGCACGCAGCGGAGTGTTTCGAGAGGGGGGGGCCGTAGAAGAACAGAGACACGCTACCAGACAGCACTTGGCCGTATACCACGACGAATCGTGCCGGGGGCCATGGTGGCGGTGGCGGCCTCAGCTGCTGAAGGATTAGGTTGCTTCTCCAGCCGAGGACTCCAGTGATTTTTCCCGTCAGGTCTTACTTTCGCAGGTCGCGGCTCGCGGTGATGCAAGAGCCATCGTGCTACGCGGCCACACTTGCGGCCACCGGCCCCAGTCACGATGCCGCTTGGGTACGGTTGGACGGGGAGGGCGGCGGTTTAGGGTGCGAGTGCCCCACTTATTAGCCCATTTGTAAGCAGTGGGGGCACGCGCGAGACGCCCGTTTCGGTGCTGAGGACGTTTGAACGCCCGCCTGATTTTTCGGCTTGCGGTCCAGGCATCTGGCCGCAACTTCGCCAGCTGAGCTTGGACTTGGATTTAGCGATCCATGGAAGAGCGCATTCTGCAGGCATTTCTTTGGGGCTAGCGGTCAGGGCGACAGGCCACGGCGCCGCCGGCTGAGTTTGAATTGGACTATCGAAGCAAAAAGCCTGTGCTGCAGGATCATCCCTTGCCTTCAACCGGAACTCGTCGCCCGTGATGCCCCCGTGATTGGAACTGGCCCGTGGCCCCACAGCCCAGGGCCCTCGTGGCTCCTTGCACCATCGAATGGGAGGTGTGCGGCCTTCGGGACGCGCGAGCGCATTGGACAGGTCCATGCGTATAGTGCGCGTCCTGTGGAGCCTCGTATCTGCCGTATGTGCAGCTTTGTGCATCCGACGTGGCTTCGACACGCATTCGGCGTGGCTCCGACGCTGACTGGGCGAGTACAGCGGCACGACGGGATCGACGGGGCCCCCTGGCGATTCGACATGGACTTCCGCTCGTGGCTCTCAGCGCCGGCAGTCCAACGTCGTGGCCCCTCTGCCCGTGGCGGCCTGCGGCCCCCTCGCTTCCGCCACGCGCGGGTGGGCGGGCGCAGCTCCCTCGGCGGATCCGCGAGGCTCCACGGCCCTGCGACCTGCGGCTCGTGGCCTTCTCGTGGCTGCCCCTGCGCGTGAGCGGAGGAGTCGGCTCGGTGGTCTGTGGCGCGGTGTGTTTGCTACCGCCCGTGACCCCCTCGCGGCCGTGTCGTGCGGAGGGGCGGGCGCCAGGGTGGCCCCTGCCGCTCGATAGAGAGATCCATGCTGTTCTGCGCCTCCTCACGTTTGCCCACCTGCGGGGCACCACGCGAGCGATCTGTTCGCCATGGCATGCGGTCGGGAGCTTTGGCTCAGCGTGTAGCGTCGCCGGTTCTGGCCCACCACGCTTCGGCGCGACACGCTATCCATTTCCGGCCCCCAGGCGCCCACGTCCCGAGCCTCTCCCAGCCTCCCACCCCGCGTAGCGGAGCGACACGCAATCCGCTTGCAGGGCATAGCGTGTCGCCGGGCCAACCCGCCGTCGCCGCCGCGACACTCTACGCGCTACGCAAAAGCTCCCGACCATACGCAGCAAGAAGTAGCGTGACCCAGGCGTGACCGCATTTCTTTCCGAGCAATGGTTGCACTAAGGAGGTCACCGCTTGACTCCGAAAGAAGTAGGCCCGAGGTGCGGCCTCTCGGAGGGTTGCCCACGGAGAGGGGCCCAACGCCGATCCAAGAAATCCGCGCGGACCTCCGACAATTTATGCGTATGCCGTTTCTTGTTCCCCTCAAGAGGATCACATGGGCCACGCAGCGAACTATGCGGTAGCCGCGAATCCCACCCGCACTTGACCTCGAGTGCAACGTCTCCGCACGGACCGGCAGTCAGGCTGTAGGGGACCATACGTCTTCTCAGTTCGTCCTCGTAGGCACCCCTAGAAGATCCCAGTGGATTGTGGTGCCCCAGCCCCGATTGAAAGGGTGACCCACGGCGGCTGGCTCCCCAAGTCAAGAGCTCGAGTCGCCGTAAGCGAAGTCGAACCCTTTCTGAAGCCGTGCGATGGTCATCCTCCTTGACCTCCTCCTGCCCAGCCAGCCGGGTTCGGGCGAGGGACGTGCAGTGCCAGGGCGGAAGGGAGAGAGTGGGGCGAACTTGGCCGTACCACTGAAGGAGGAGCAGGGGCAAGAGCAGGGGCAGCCAGAGGAGGAGAAGAACGAGGCAATGAGCAACATGAGGAGGAGGAGGAGGAGAAGGAGGAGGAGGATGCAGAGGAAGAAAACAAGGAGGAGAGATCGGAGTCCGTCCGAGCGACATTTGGCTGGAAGCCGGTGCCCCCCCCCCCCCGGAGCAAGCGCCGCTCGCTTTAAGCCCGATCGGCGGCTGCTCCCAGAGGGAGGGGTTGCGTCAGCCGGGGCGACGACGAGGAAGAGGTAGCGGTTGTCCGTGCGCGAGGCGTCAGCGCCCGCCGCCTGCCGCCGCCCAGCCCCGCCAGCAGCTCCAGCGCAGAGCGCCAGCGCCCTGCTGGCCAGCAGCGGCCAGGCCTGGCCAGCGGCGGCCCCGGCGCGACGCCCCAGTCCGTCCGAAGTCGTCTGGGCCGGTTCCGCCTAGCGCAGGCCAGCCGCCTTGCGGAGCTGGCGCGTCGTGGCGGCCTGCAAGCCGCAGCTCAAGACCTTGCAGGCCCGCGCCAGCTCCCCGGCTGCTGATCTTCGAGCGGCAGGTGCAACTGCCCGAGCAGCCAGAGGCGGTCCTGGGCGCCGAGCCGCCCTTCCGCCTCGATGGCGAAGAGCGGCAGCCTGGCGCCGGGGTCCTTGTCTCGCTCCCCGCGGCGTCTGGCCTTCCCGTCCCGCCGCGCGGCCGCCTGCAGCTCAGCTTGGGTCCCGGCTGCGGGGTGGCGCACAGACGTGTCGAGCCAGCGCCGGCCGCCGTCGTCCTGGCATTCCAGGTCCAGGATTGCGCGTTCGAGGCGGCCGTCTGGGCGGTGGCGCTCCCAGGTCGGCACACTCTGCTCGAAGAAGCCTCTCGCCGCGCCAGCGCTGGACGAGGCCGCCGATTCTCTGGTTGAGCCCCCCGTGGCGCGCCACCATGCCCCCGCCAAGCTGGCAAGCGAGGGCATGGTAGCCCTGCTCGTCCAGCGCCCAGGCGCAGCCAGCTCCGCTGGCGCCGCGCAAGCAGCAGGCGGCCCCCGCCGTTGCCAACTCCTGCTGGCAGAGCTCCATGCGAGGGAGCTGCAGCCGTCGCCGCGCGCCAGTCTGCCAGAGGGCGCCCCCCAGCGTGCAGAGAGCGTTCTTCCTGCTAAGCGAAGACAGCTCCACTGCCGGTCCCTGCTGCGCTCCGCAGCTCGGCCTGCCGGGGGAATTTGTATCGTCGCAACAGTGCTGCGCGTTGTCTCCTCTGCACCGTCTCCGTGCCCAGGCCTTGCTTCAGGGGCGTCTGCAGCGCGGTCGCCAGGCCCCAGCCCGCGGCGAGCTCCAGCCCTTGGACTTGCAGTCCGCGCCTCGCCGTTGTCAGCTGCTGAGCCGCCCGCGGTAGCCGCAGTCTGCCAGCGTCCCGCAGCCCTGGTCCTCGGTGACCAGCGCCGCCGCCGTCCAGGAGACCATGGAGGCCGCGTGACGGCGCGTGCTGGCCAGCTGCGCGCCCAGGCCTACGAACCTGGCCAGGAGGCATAGCAGCTCCTCAGCTGCGTCGCCCAGGTCCGGCTCCAGGAGGTCTCGCCAGCAGCCCGTGAGCAGGTCGTCGTATTGCTGTGTCGCGGTGTCGGGGGCGAGCGCCATCTGCAAGGAGCGTTGGCTTGCTGGGCCAGCAGAAGGAGTGTTGCCGCCGCCTGCTTTTTAAGTCCAGCGTTCTGCAGTCTTTTAGTCTTTTAAGAATCATCGTGTGCCTGCAGCTTCCTCCCTGCTCTGGTGAGGCTGTTCGCCGGCTCCCCCCCACTGGGCAGCGCGGGCGCGCTGCCGTCGACGTCTCCGGGCGGCCGAAGGTGCTTGCCGAGGACAGGCAAGCTGGGCACACAGCACACCTGCAGGTCCGACGTGAGCACGGTGCGCCCAGCCGGAGACCAGGCGGCCGTCTTCGTTGCGTTCAGCCCCAGCGCGAAGGGCCGGAGTGCCAGCTGCAAGGCTGGCAGAGCGAGCGCGGCCAGCGCGGCGTCACCACCGGGTAATCAGGATTCGTCCAAGTTGATGTAGAGCTTCCTTCGCCGGTGGGCCCAAGAAGAGGAGCTCCGCGTGGAACCTGTCCAAGGGTTTCCTCTGCGCCACGGAGAAAGCAGCGGGCGGCAAAGGATTCCCCTGGTCGACACCCCTGCCGCTTGGGAGCAAGTGGAAGCACCCCCCCGCGTCGCGCCAGAGGTGTCTCGCAGGTTGTCCATACCAGGCCAGGATGGTCGCTGCGGCCACCTCGTCTTGCTTTGGCTCCTATGGCGGCGCTCACTCAAAGGAGGAGGAGGAGGAGGAAGCGGAGGAGGAGGAGCAGCAGGAGGATGTGGATGGGGGAGGAGGGGAAGGAGGAGGAGGAGGAGGAGGAGGAGGAGGAGGAGGCAGAGGCGGAGGAGGAGAGGGGAGTGGGGGGGAGGAGGAGAAGGGAGGAAAAAGGGAAGGGCGGAGAATGTCCTTGGCCAGCTTCCGCGAGAGGATCGCGGAGCAGGCTCGCGGCTTCAGTCGCGGCAGCAAGAGGAGGCAGGGGAGCTCGGAAAGGAGACGGAGGACGAGTCGGAGGTTGATACGGTCCAGAACTTTGGCTTAGCGTGTCGCGGCGCCGGTTCTGGCCCACCACGCTGTGGCGGAGAAGCAAAAAGTGGTGGAGTGCGGCGAGGAGGCGGGAAGGGTCCCAGCGCGCGGCTCGCAGTCCAGCAGACCGACCAGAAGGTCCAGGCGCGCGGCTCGCAGCCCAGCAGGCCACTTCTGGGTCCCCAGGCATTTACGGTCCGAGCCTTTACCAGCTTCCCGCCGCGCAGAGCGGAGCTGTACGCTGTCCGCTTGCAGGGCATGGCGTGTCGCAGGCTGGGCGATCGTCCTTCACGCGTTTTTCCTGGAGGTGGGAACAGGGTATGGGCTTGTTTGTTGGGGTGTGGTGCTAATTTCATGGAAAGGGGACCCTGGCGATGTCATTGATCGCAGATCGCATCGCCATTTCCACGATCGACATCATACCCCTTTATACCACACCCGTTTCCGACATCGAAAAATATACATACATATGCCACAAGACATGTAAATCTATAGGTGCTTTACTCTAGGCCTCCTTCCTTGTCGCCGAGGGCCGCCGAGCCCCAGAGGGGCCGCCTGAGACGGCCGCAGGGTGATGAGGCCCCACGGACTACCCAGGGAGCCGGTTGAGGCTTGCCCGTGCTACTTGATTGGACATTGCCCGGGAGCAGCGAACCAGTTACCCAAGGAGCTGGTTGAGTCCAGCCGGGATTGCCTGTTTGCACTGCCAGTGGGCACGCTTAGGCGCTGCCAGGGTTTAGCACCATCAGCACAGGCGGCGGGAGAAGTGGCAGCATGCATGAGTGGAAGCGGCAGCGGCAGCGCGATCTCCAGCGGGGGTTGTGGCAGCAGCAGTTCCGTCAATCCTGATATTCATTTCCTCTGCCTCCTCGTCCTCCACCGCCCCCCGTTCTCCGCTTTCTCCCCTCCTTCTCTCGCTTGTGCTCTGCCCGCTCATCCCCTCCTGCTGCTGCTCTTCGTCTTCCTTCGTCTTGCGCAGGTATTGGGCATGTTCGACCTCGGGCTCACCCCTCGACAGCTGGACCGACTGACAGGCGTGCACCCCCCCCCCCGCCCCTAATCAGCCAGCAGGGGAACGTTATCGATGGCCGACTCTGCGAAGAACGTTCAATTTTGCGACGCTTGCGATGGTGTTTGCGGATACGGCGACGACCATCACCATGGCCGTCGTACGATGACCGTGTTATGGTGATTGTAGCGTTCGAAGCCGTCCGTCATCACAGTCTAGACCATAATGGTGAGTGATAGCGATTGGGGTGACGGCGTTCGCTCGCATTCAGGCTGATATTTCCATGGCGGGCGAGAGGTTTCGGTCATGGATCGTGAAGTGTGTACTCCGCATTGCTGATAAAGGGCGAATGTGTGCCATTTCCAGCTTCGCACCTCTGGAACACCCTGGTAACATGACATGGGTAGTTAGCGTGCCCTTGCCATCACTGGTGATGACCAGTGCACATTCGATCGTAGGGCTTCCTACGCACGGTGATTGACGCACAAATGTAACCGACCGCAGACGAGCTGCCCTGTCCTGTAATGAGTATCGCGCAGGTCGTAGAGGTGTCCGAAATGGCCGCGCTGCTGCGCTGAACAGCTGCTGTCAAGTCGCTAAGTTTTGCCTCGCAGGCAATGTCATGGTTTCTAGTGGTGAGTGTTAGGATCTTGTTGGAGGGGATGGTTTCCAGCGGCGCGGCGGTAGCGCGCTTTCGGGGTCCCTCTTGGGGCCGTCCTGGGGGGGGGAGGGCCGAGGGAGGAGCGGGGGTGCAGCCCTCCACCCTGGGACCACCCCCCCCCCGGGATCCCTCCGGGACCACCCCTCGGGACCGCCCCTCGGGATTCGCCCCTTTGCGAGAAGGGAAGCGGCTTCCTTTCGACTCAGCTACGATCGTGGTCGAGCCGCCTCGGGTTGGCGATCTTGGGGAGCCTTGGGTGGTCGCCGGGAAGAGGGGGGAGAGCGTCGAATGGAACAGTGTCCCCTGGGAACGCCCGAGGACGATGATAATTGCATTCTCTCCTAATGATACAGCTCGTCTGGAAGGGTCCGACATAGTTCCTTGAACGCCCAGTGAGGGATGCCAGGCCCCCGAAGTCGGTGGCCCACCGTGGACCCCCACCTTGGCCCCCCACCGTTTAACTGTGTAAAGCCCCGACATGCTTTGTACTTTTCAATGCGGGTGACTGGAAGCGCCAACCCCCTCCCCAGGGTCGGTTCTTTCATCCTGAGCACTTCTTTGACTGTATTGGTGCCCGACGTGGTCCCCGGGAGGTAGAACATGAGATGGACAAGTTAGGCCGTCGCGATGTTTTCGCGACGCGAGCCTCTGGCATTGTAGTCGGGTCTTTTGCCGCAAGGGTGTCACGTCTTGTCCCCAGCTCCTGGCTCTTACTGCAGCCTTGCGGGCCGGCCCGCTCCCTCGGCGTTAGCGCCCGCGCCGATGCTATGGCGCCCGCCCTGAACATCGCTCCAGCAGGCCAGGAGTGAGTCTGACCTCGGTGAGGGCCCCCTGGGAAGCCCCCCGTCACCACGTGTGGTTGGATCCATGTCGAAATTCTGGTCGCACCATGGAGAAGGTCCCTCGAGTATGTAGTGGTATCGGTACTTATTGGCTTCCCCCAAAAAGGGTGCTGAGGATTTCAATTCTCGCTATATTTGACGAGACAAAATTAACATCGCGCAACAGGGATCTCGGCGCATCGAGGCGCGCGAGTGGGGGGCCGTTCAGCCAAGAGCCCAGTGCGCCCGTCATTTTTGAAATGCCCATTCAACAGAGAGTGCCCAATTGCGCGTCTAAAGCCACCCGCTGGCGTCGCGTTGATTGCGACGAAACTTGTGTGTACGCCGCATGATATGGGCCAGACGCGTGTCTTTTCGCCCAACTTTCTACACTGCGACGCCAAATAAATAAAGCAGGGGCATCTCTCTCGATCTCTACATATATATACATATGTCATATGTTTACGTGTGTATATCTACGTGTGTATATCTATGTACACATGTATATGACCCCATTCATATGGATGGATGGGACAGCGCGGTTTGGGAGGCCGCCACGGGCTCCGTTCTGGGTTCGAGCTTGTGCTGCAAGTCCTACCCCCAATTTCGGCCATGTTCGCACGTGGCCCATCTTCGCTCTCGCAGCCGCACGCGGCTCGCCACCACGCCCGCCACCCCGCAAGGGCCCTCGAGGGAGCCCACAGGGCGCCATAGCGGCCTCAGCGCCCACTATTGCTTCGAGATGTCCCCAGAGGCCTTCAACACGCCCCAAGAGAGCTCGAAATTGGTCCCCGAGAGAGCCCCAGTAGCGAGAAACCACCATTAATTCCCATTTGCTTATTTCACAGATGTTCCCGTCGTCGCCTGCCTGCGCCTCTCGACATTCCATTCGGAGACGGCGCAAGAGACGTCCAAGGGAGGCCCACCAGAATGTAGACGCGAAATCCTTTGTAAGCCGCTGCTCCCTCCATCCTTCTGGGCTTCCCAGCTCGTTCAAAGACGGGCGCAGGGGCATCCCAGATGGTCCCCAGCACGTCCCAAACAATCATGTTCCCGGGAAGTCTTCCGAGAACAACATGTTTGTCACCGCCAATCGACGGAGGATGAGCTGGATGAGGAGGACAAGGAGGGGAGGAGGGGTGCAGAGGCAGGGGACGAAGAGAAGGCAGAGGACGAACAGTTGGGTAACGTGGGTGAGGAGGAGGAGTGAGAAATGAGGGAGGAGGAGGAGGAGGAGGAGGAGGAGCAGGAGGAGGAGGAGGAGGAGGAGGAGGAGGAGGAGGAGGAGGGAGGAGGAGGAGGAGGAGGAGGAGGAGGAGGAGGAGGAGGAGGAGGAGGAAGTGGAGGAGGAGGAGGAGAAGGATGAGGAGGAGGAGGATATCAAAACAAGGAGGGGACAGGGAAAAGGCGGCAGAACACAGCTCTAGTCGTCCGCGGATCCATCCGTCGGTCCCTTGCCCGTTGGTGCCCGTTTGGCTTTTCCCGCCTCCTTGCTGCTTCCCTCCTTTCCCGCGTTCCCCCCTCCAGAGAAAAGGATTTTCTGCCGCCCGCTGGGGGCCACAAGGGGGGGGACCACCGAGGAGGGCAGCCGAAGGGGAGCCACAGAAGGGAACCACCGAGGAGGGCCAAGGAGGGGGCCAGGGGAGCCACCGAGGGGAGCCACAGAGGAGGGTTACAGAGAGGGGCCAACGACGAAGGCCTCGGAGGAGGGCCACCGAGGAGGGGTCACAGAGGAGGGCCAAAAGGGGGGCCACCGAGGGAGACCACTGAGGGCGGCCACCGACGGGGGGGGCCACCGGGGGGGGCCACCGGGGGGGGCCACCGAGAAGGCCACCGAGGGGAACCACAGAGGGGGGCCACAGAGGGAACCACCGAGGGGAAAATAAGGAGGGGCGCGCCAGAGAGAGGGCCACCGAGAGGGACCACGGGAGCGGCTGCAGCAGACTGCGGGTGGGTCGATTTTCGCTGGAACCCCGGTACCCCAGCGGCGGCCCCCTGCCCTCGCACGGGCGGAGAATCCAGGACTCTCCAGAACCCCCAGGAACCCGAGGTCCTTGCTGACGACGGGTAGCTGGCTGGGGGGCGAGCGCGACGGGGAGGAGGAGGAGGAGGAGGAGGAGGAGGAGGAGGAGGAGGAGGAGGAGGAGGACCAGTGTAAACCCAAGAGTCATCAACGATGTTGGAATTAACCCTCCCTCCAAGTTCCCTCTTATAGTCCCTTACAACGGTTCATGTCCATTGAGGGAACTGCCTCGTTGGAAGACAGCCGTTTGAAGATCCGGAAGCATGCCAAAACATGATTCTCGGGATTGCAACGCCACGTATCAACCTGATTGCTGCGTTTTGGCGATCCGGAATCGTACCATAACAAAATTTTTATTTCAACACCGCGAATCAACAGAACTGTTGCACTCGCATAATGATACGTTGATCCTGGGAATCAGTGAAACTCTTGTAATGTGTTATAACGAATGCGCGCGGAGCTAAGGCGAGAGCCACATTTTGAAAAGGAGCCGCCCTCAAGCCGTGGAACGCTGGCAATTGTTTACGAAGAGTGTGCTCGGCGCGAAGGCGAAGCCATATTTGAAAAGGAGCCGCCCTCAATCCGTGAAGATTCTTGCAATTTGTTAAAACGAACGTGCGCGGCGCGTAGGCGAGAGCCACATGTTGAAAACCACCCGCCCTCAATCCGTGAAACTCCTGCGCATGTTTTAAAAACGAATGTGCGCGGCGCTAAGGCGAGAGCCACATGTTGGAAAGGAACCACCCTCCATCCGTGAAGCTCTTGCAAACGTTTCCAAAGAAAGTGCGCGGCGCTAGGGCCTAGCCGCTAGGGCGAGAGCCACATTTTGAAAACCACCCGCCCTCAATCCGTGATACTCTGGCAAATTCTTAAGACGAATGTGCGCGGCGCTCAGGCGAGACCCACATTTTGAAAACCACCCGCCCTCCATCTGTGAAGCTGTTGTCACTTTTTTAGCTCCAGGGTCATTCGTGGTGAGGAATTCTTAAGCGAAGCGCCCGGTCCGCCTTAAAATCTGGCTTCGGGGTGCGACAGAGAGGACTTATCTATAAGGAGAAAGAATGGAGGAGGAAGAGGAGGAAGAGAAGGAGGACGACGACCACGACGACGCCGACGAGGACGACGACGATGCCGACGCCGACGCCCATGCCGACGACGACGGCAACTACGGTCCGCTCAAAATCGGCCCCAGACCCCACTTTATATGTTCATGAAGCACTGGGGAAAAAACACCATCGGACCGACGACGACGACGATGACGACGACGAAGACAACGGGCCCAGGGGTCCCCAGAGGCCCCGTCCCAGCGTTCCTAGGACCCCACTGGGACCCCACCGATGCCTTGTTTCTGGGGCCCCTGGTGCTCCCCAGAGGCAAGCAGCGGCCGGCGGCAGCCAGCAGCAGCAGCGGCCAACAGCGGCCCCGAGCACGACGCGCACGACGCGCACGACGAGCACGGCCACGATGGCGACGTCCGCCGAGCAAGATGACCCCTTCTCAGGACAGGACCCCTCTCAGGACAGGACTTCTCTTTCTCGCTCGGTCAGGACCCTCTCCCAGGACATGACTCCCCCAGGACCCACCCCACAGACCCAGTCTCACCTTCAGGACCCCCTTTCCCAAGATCCCCTCTCAGGCAGGACCCCCTCTCAGGACTTCTCAAGGCCTTCCCCAGGAACCCCGTCTCAGGATGGGGACAGAACGTTGCCGCCGTCGCAATCGTCGCGCACTTGTGGCCTCAAGGACTGCGTGTCTGTCATGGTAGTGGATGGAGCGCGCGCGTGGTTCAAGTATAGATGTGCGTATGCTTGTGTGCATGTGAGTGAACTTGAATGTGAATGTGAATGTGTCTATGTGTGCATGTCATGGCCAGGGCCATGGTCCGCGCGCGTGCCAGAACCCCCCGCTCCCTGACCTTACTCTTCGGCGTGCCCGATACAGCTGTGGAGCAGCTGGATTGATGTTCGCCCACCGACGCGGTGCACATCTCCGCTTTCACGCCTTCGTTGGCCCACACCACGCATCCGCAGGGACAGATGTTGGAGGGGGACACGTTTCGGACCTCGCGGCGCTCCACGTGTTTTGGATTCGTCTCACTCTCAGTCCATTCAGCACGGGGTACGACTTGCGACTGCTTCAATGCTCAAGCCGTGGAGCCATGCGCACTGATTACACCAAGTGTCGTGTGAGCGCTGACCATCGAGCGCCACTCTGGACAGCACTGTGTGCCTAGCTTGTTCAGGTCTGTACTGGTATGTACCTGTCAATCGAGCGTTTTCGGCGGGGTCGTCGAGCGCCACTCTGAACAGCACTGTGTGCCCAGCTCGTTCAGTTCTGTACTTGTCTGTACCTGTCAATCGAGCGTTTTCGGCGGGGTCGTGCCGGCGGCACTCTGCCAGCCAGACTCGTTGTTGCAGAGGGCTGCGTCCATTCGCTTTCGATCCAGACCTGTGCATCCTCCGTGGGAAACAATTGCGCAGTGTTTTCCTATATCTTTTTCCTATTGTTTATGGGGGCACCGGCCGAATGCCGTCTGGTCCGGGGCAGCGCACAGCTTGACGGCAGGTTTCTGGGCGTTTGTGTTGGTTCCTGGAGGATTTCTTGCCTCGGGATGCCCTAAGCGGCTGCGCCTCGCCGGGAGCGTTCTGGGGTCGTTCGAGCCGTCCCGACCAGCCGATTCGGCGTTTGAGTAAAGACCTCAAAACGGCTCAGGGGTATAACATCTTTCTTCTCGCCCCTGTTCGCAGCTTGGCAGACGCCGCCTTTATCTGCGAGTCCGAATGTCGCCCTCACCCGCGAATCCAACCGTACTTGGCAGTTTCGCAGAAACTGATTTGGGACGCCTGCAGCATTAAGCGCACAGGCGCGGCGTCACGCCAGCGTTGTTATCCGCCCTTGGGGCCACTAAGGCCGCGAAGGCACATCAGCGCCCCCTTCCGAGCGTGAGGGGAGAAGAGGACAGCGGAGGGAGAGGAGAGGAGAAGACAGGGTGGAGAGGCGAAGGGGGAGGAGAGGCGAGATTGGAGAGGAGAGGGAAGGAGAGGAGAGCGGAGGGAGAGAGGGGAGGAGCGGAGAGGCGAGGAGCCAGGGGGCGTGAGAGGAGAGGAGGACCGGAGAGGAGAGGAGGACCGGAGATGAGAGGCGGAGGGTGGCCAGAGCTGCCTGTGAGAAACCGCGCCCGTGCGCAACCGCGAGGGGCGCTTAGCGGGGCGGCTTGCACTGTGGGCGGGGCTCGGGCATCCCCCCTCTGAGGATCTCATCCTCCTCCGAGGAGGAGGGCCCAGATGGCCGACGACCTGGGGGCAGTTCTTCCTTCATTCTGGCCTCTGGGGGCCGTGTTTGGGCCACTAATCAAAAACGGATCCGGGGCGCAACCTTATCCTGGGTCAAGGGGCCAGGGCCGCTGGGGCCGCGCATTGAAAAATAAAACCAGACGTCTGGGGAGGGTGGCGAGGAGACGACGAAGAGTCGAGGAGAGGCTAGCGTGGAGGTGAATGAGGGGTACGAGGGCTCCCGGGGAGGCTCGGATCGCTGACTGGAGTCTAGTTGCAGCCCCCCCCCCTGACCTCCCCCTTGCTCCCTTCCTAGGAGGCCTCCCGCTCTGGCTGCTCTCTCCTACTCATCCTTCACCTCCTCCTTTTGCTCAGTCTGCTCGGTCTCCACGTCTCCCCCCCTCCGTGGTCATATTGGCTCAAGCCATCCCAGCGCCCTGGCCTCTCCGCAGTCACGGCATTCGGTTTCGGCGGTCGCACCCTTGGGACCCCGTGTGCGTTTCTTGTAGGTGGGCTGTATGTCTACGGGTGACGCCATGGCGTCGTGCATGCAGGGCTTGCATTGAGGATTTCTTCTGCAACATGGCCTTCGCGTTCTGCGTCATGTGCCCCACTTGCGCACGCTTAAGGCCATGATCTACGGGGTCGTGCATACCGCGCTGCCTCCCCAGACCGCCTCTACCATCCACGGCACATCTGCCGCGGCCGGCGGGGCCAGGCTCAGGCTTAGTCCCTGCGCCCGCACGGCCTTTGCTCCGACCAGAGGCGCCCGATTTCTCTCACAGCCCAACTGTGATCATGACTCAGGGGTTGGCCTTGGCCTCTGCTTATGGGCCGTCGGTGGCCGAGGCACATCTGACAGGACATAGAGGTGGGGTCATCTCATCCTTCGGCGGACGCAGGCGGCCATCTGCGCGGCCATATGGCGGCGGGCTGCAGCGATGGTCCAGCCTGCCTGCGGGCGCTGGCGCCCCAGGAGGAGCACCTGCTCTTCGCCGACGCTGCGCCAGCGTGGGCTGGAGAACAGCAGCTCGCTCACGCCGTGGCTGGATAAGACAAGAGCACAGAGACGGGGTTGGATGTTCAGCATTCTCCTGGCGTTGGCGAGGCCGACCTACTTGGGCCCGGCCTGCGGCTGCGGCTCCCCGCCCGGCCCAGCTCGGGACCAGGCGATTCACGAAAGTAGCCCGGATGAGTGCGCGTTCGCTCAGCATGCTTCTCTTCATCGTCGCCCTCCACTCGGCCGTGCGCTGGCCACTCCTCCTCATGGGGCAGCTCCTCGTGATGCTCGTATGCGTCCGGTGCCGTCCCTAATGTCTGCCCTCTTTTCTGGCGTACCTGGCAGCCTTCTGGCAAGCCGTCTTCTTGGGGTATCTGATGGTTTACATTGCCACTGCCCCTCGTGCTGCTGCGCCTTATCGTTGCATCTGGTACAGAGTATGCGTTGGCATTGAGGAGTGTTTTCTGGCTGGTCGTACTCTCCTCTTTGCGCGTGAGGCCATGTCAGTCGTCGAACTTGCTCAGTCTATGGTCCTGGTCAGACTGCGCCTGAGGTATATGAGCTTGTTCGTGATGCCCTTTGTCATGTTCAGCAGCGTGAGATGAATTCTCAAGGTGATGCCCATTATATTTGGCAGAATGGATAGGCCCAGCCTGAATCTGTTCATGGTGACACTGTGCCAGTCCATGTTCATGGTGCTGGTTGACAGACTCTGGGTCTCGGCGATCGCATTGATTTTCTTTATGATGCTCTGTATTTTTTTGCCGACTGCAACGAGGATGTGGGTTGATGGTCTCCCTGAATTGACCTATGGTCACCATGTGCCTGGGCCTGCACTCGTTCCTGGCCCTTCTGAGTGGGCCCAGGATCCTGGCCAATCCTGCAATTGCTGACACCAGTGCCCCTGCGAATGTAGGCGTTCCTGGTGCAGGAGGTGTTTCTGACGATCTCCCCTTGTTTGGTGATGGATGGCACAGGCGAGGCTGCGCTCTGGAGTTGCTCGCGGGGGAGTGCGCGGAGGCGTTCGGAGTACCATCTGGCCCTGTCCTTAACGGTCGTTTGGGCCTTTCCGTGTCACCCAATGTTTGATGAGCGGCTCGGGCTCCAGATGGCCGGCGACGAACGCATCGTCTTTTTCCGAACAGAGGCGTTGAAGGAGGAACCGTTTTTTTCGATTCCACGGGCGGCGCATTAGCGATGGTCCACCGGGTCAACGATAAAATAAAGTTGCCCCCTCCTTATTTCTGCCCTTGCTGGAGAGAGCTAACGTGGTCATCGATGTGCTGCTGGGGAAGGGGGACAACTCAGTCTCTTCCACCGCCTCCTCCCCCTTATCCCAGTCTTCCTCGGACTAGCTTCCGCTGCCAGGGCAGATTTTCCTGGGTGTGGCTGGCAACCAGGACATGGCGTCGGGCGGCGACTCTGAGCCTATCAAAATCAACGTGCAGGAACGATGGGCGGGACGGGGGCGGGGTTGGAGGACGGGGAGGAGGGGGAGGAAGGAAAGATGAGGGAAAGGACAACACATGGGAAGGGGGTAAGGAAAGGGTGAGGAACAGGAAGAGGAATACACGTGAAGGAAGGGGATGAGAGGTGGAGGGCGAGAGGGAACAGGAACAGAGAGGGAGCGCGCATCTGCGACGAGGGGGTCGTCCTGAACTGATCTCGATGACTCTTTCGAGGGGAGTTCATCATCTTCCTTCGCGTGAACCTGCCTGTGTGATGTCTTTACGTCGCCATTGGCCACGAACGCTGCAGCCCCGGATCCCGACCCCCGTATGTTTCTGGAGGTCCTGGGAGGTCTGCAGAGGCCCCCCCTGCCGGCGGCCCGTTTGGAGATTTCTGGGGTCCCAGGCAAGCCCCAGACGTCTCCCCCAAGAGACATCTGCGAAACTCGATCCTCGAGGGGTCGACGGCAAGACCCTAGCAGCCGCGCCATCCCAGCCAGGACTCGAGCGGGCCCAACGTGTCAGGAAGAGGCAGGGGCCGTGAAACGCGGACTGCCGTTCGTTCTGCCGCGGATTGAAGGCTGGAGTTTGAAGCATTTCGGATGCGGATGCCCCCGCCTGCCCCCCAGGAAGCCGAGCTTCAAGTTTCGTGCTCTTGTCGCCTCTCCGCGGCCGCCAACCAGCGAGGGCGGCACGACCTTGAGCCATCTTCAGTCGGTTATAGCCAGGACCCCAGGTAAGGGGACCCGGTTGGTCATTTTTGTAGGGCCCTGGAGCCCCTAAATTTGCCAGAATCACTAAACCAGGTCAGCCGTAGCTGGTGTTTTTCCGGGTGATGGCAGTTCCGGTTAGTGGAACGGGCGGGGGTGGCGTCCCCAGTACACATCACTAAACCAGGTCCCACTAAACCCAGTTCTGCCAACGCCCGATTCAGGTCCCTCTAATCAAGGACATTGCTAAACAGGACTTTGAGGATTCCACCTGGAGAAGACGAAGAAGGGAGAATGTGTCGACCCATGGCTGCAGCCTTCCCGGTTTGTTTATCAGAGTCTTCGCTTAGGGGGCCCTGAAGATTCAGGGCCCCCAAAACGGTGCTCATCGGAGGGAAGAGGATTGAGCCAGACGGTGCCATGCAGGGATTGGGTCCCCCCTGATCCCAGACAGGCTCGGGTCATGAAAAATCAGAGGCGTGAGGTGTTTGGCCATGTTCGGCCCTGGGATCGTGCAAAAACGATTGGGACGAATAGTCGGCCTGGGGCAAGCGGTCGGGACTTCCGGGGACCCCGTATTTATAAAATCAAGGCATGGCATGTCTGGGACAGGGACCGCCACCGAGAGCCCATCCGATGAGGGGTGTGCCTCAGTCGGTGCCACCGCCCTGGGGTCGGCTCCCCTGATGGGTCCTCGTTGCCGGTTGTCCCTGTTTTTCTTCTGTTGGAGCGTCTCCGGGCTTTCCTCTGGGTCCTTTTTTGTCCATTTGCCTTTGGGCGCTTCCGTCGGAGTCTCGTCGCCGCTGGCTGGACGCTTGTTGGACTTCACCACCAGTGCGTCCACAGGGGAGGGGGATCCGCCCAGGCCAGGCACTGAGGAGGAAGAGGAAGAGTAAGATGAGCAGGGTGGATGGGACCTATGGAGGAAGTGAAGTGTGGAGGACGAGGGTATGGAGAATGATGAGAAGACGTAGGAGGAGGAGGAGGAGCAGGAGGAGGAGGAGGAGGAGGGGGAGGAGGAGGAGGAGGAGGTGTAGCGGCCGCGCAGTCCTTCCTGGGCCGCTTCTGCCTGGTCTACAAGACGGCGGACCGCACCTCCTGGGCTGGAGAGCATCCCGCTGCACTGGCAGACCCAGTCTTTCTTCTCCCTCGCTCTCGATTAAATTGACAAACTTTGACGCTGGGAGACCCCGACCAAAGATGGAGCCCCCAGCGTCTTTCGACAGAATCGGCGAGGTTTGCGCCGAAGGGGCAGTTTCTGTCTCCGTGAGCGCCAGCTGCCTTGTCTCAGGCGCGCCCGGGATGCATCAGCACACTCATAACTCGATCCAGAGCGTTCGGGACACTCTCGGAGCATGCCCTACTCCCAAGGCGTCCTCTAGACGCGGCGCCACAGCATTCCAGCTGCGGCGCTCGATACGTTCTCCAGGCCCGCTGGTTTTCAGAGAATCCCAGTCCCAATCCGTTTTTGCTTCTATCCTGCCCTCGCCTGGTTCTCCTTCTTTCCTGTCCTTGTTTGTTTCTCAGTACAGCTGGCACGAGGGCCATGATCATCCTATCCTTGGAGGGGTACCCTTATAAGAGTGAGGGGCCGAGTTGTCATTCACTGTCCCTGGGCGCGTGGCTGAAGTGAGGTTTGCAGTGCGGAGTGTTGTTATTGTTGTTGTTGTTGGTTGTGTCGTCGTTGTTGTTGTTGTTATTGTTGTTGTTGCTGTTGTTGTTGTTATTGTTGTTGTTGGTGGTGTTGTTGTTGTGGTTTTTGGTATTGTTGTTGTTATAGTTGTTGTTGTTGTTATTGTTGCTGCTGTCGTTGTTGTTGTTGATGTTGTTGTTGCTGATGTTGTTGTTGTAGTTGTTGTTGGTGATGGCGGTGAATTTTCACGACTGAAGAATAAGTATTGTTGACCCCCCCTCCAGTAACCATAGTGTTGTTTCAATTGAAGTGTCTCCCCAGGGGCTCGCACTCTATTCCTTTTACCAATGACAGTTACTAGGCTAAACCTGAAGTGTTGGCCCCCAGATTACAACAACAACGGCTCCCGCCTGAGACTTCCTCACACTTTAGCCAGGACCCCCGCTCCCGCCCGAGACTTCCTCGCATTTTACTCAGGAGTCGCGCTCTCGCTTGGGGACTTCCACACTTTATGCAGGAATCGTTCTCTCGGCGCTCTGGAGTCGCGCTCTCGCTGGAGACCTGCTTGCAATTTATTCAAGCATCGCGCTCTTGCGTTGGAATTCCCCGCGCTTTACTCACGCGCAGCGCTCCCGACACTCAGGCACCCAGGAATCGGGATCTTGCTGCCCTTCGTGGCCCCGTTGCAGCCCTCCGTGGCCTCCTCGCTGCCCTTCGTGGACCCGTTGCAGCCTTCGTGGCCCTGTTGCAGCCTTTCGTGGCCCCCTCGCTGTCCTTCGTGGCCCGTTGCAGCCCTTCGTGGCCCCCTCGCTGCCCTTTCATCGCCCCGTTGCAGCCCTTCGTGGCCACCTCGCTGCCTTTCGTGGACCCGTTGCAGCCCTTCGTGGCCCCCTCGTTGCCCTTTTTGGCCCCGTTGCAGCCCTTCGTGGCCCCCTCGCTGCCCTTCTTGGCCCCGTTGCACCCCTTCGTGACCCCCTCGCTGCCCTTCATGACCCCGTTGCAGCCATTCGTGGCCCCCTCGCTGTCCCTCGTCGCCCCATACATGTCTGCCCTTCGTGGCCACGCGCCCGTTGTGGCTCCACATGTACGCCCTTCGTGGCCCCGCTGTCGCCCTTCGTGGCCCCGTTGCTGCCCTCAGTGTCCGCGGCCGCCCCGCCGCTTGCCGGAGCCCGGCCTCCAGGGAAGAAAGATATACCCCAAAAGGGGTACGATTGGAGACGAAGAGTGCGGGCATCGAGGGTTTGGGAAATACACGTGGGATGACACTCGAGCAGATGAGAGCGACGAGTCTTAAAATGATTGTTATTGTTGCTGTTGTTGCTGTTGCTGCTGCTGTTGTTGTTGGTGTTGCTGTTGCTGCTGTTGTTGATGCTTCTGATGTTTTTGTTATCGTTATTGTTGTTGGTGGTGGTGCTGGTACTGCCGCTGTCGTTGCTTATGTTGTTGGTAGGGTTAAGGTTGTTGTCGGTGCTGGTGTTGTTGTTGGTGGTGCTAAAGTTGTTGTCATTGTTGTTGTTGCCGTTGTTGTTATTGTTGTTGTTGAGCCCCCACTTCCGAAGAACAACTATCGTTAGCCATCCCTCCAGTAGCATCTGTGGTTTTTCAATTGAAGTGCCCCTCCTGGGGCTCGCACCCTGTTTTTGATTAGGGTCAGGTCTTGCTGCTCAAACTGCGCCCTTGGCCCCCGACTTACAGCAACAACGGCTCCCGCCCGATACTTCCTCACACTGTACTCCCAAATCATCGCGCTCTCGCGCGGGACTTGTTTTGCAATGTTTGAAGGGATCGCGCTCTCGCGTGGGATTCCCCCGCAATGTATTCAGACACCGCGCCCTCGACACTCAGGAGTCACGCTCTTGCGTTGGCTTATCTCTCGGTTTACTTCAGAATCGCGCTATCGTTCGAGACCTCCTCGCGATCCATGCAGGACGCACGCTTCAGCAAGCCGCCTACTCGACCTGGCCGCCTGGGCCCGCCTTCCCGATCCGCCTGTTAGGGTCTACTCGACCATTCTGCCCGTTTGGTTCTGCCACGTGTTTTCTGCTCCTAGCCCCCCCTGCTACTCTCCCTCTCGTGTTCCATCCTCCTCCCTTCCCCGTGCCCATTTCTTCCGTCCGTCCTCTTTTCCCCTGCCGTATCCGCTGCATCCAACACACGGTGCGGGTAAGAAAGATATACTCCCAAGGGGGCACGATCGAAGACGAAGCGGGGGGTATCGAGAGTTTGGGGTCTACGTGTTGAGTGGCACGCGAGCAGACAAGAGCGAACAGTCTCAAAATGATCGCTGCTGTTGTTGTTGAACATTATTTATTCTAACGAATAATTATTGTTGGGCCCCCTGGTGCGCGCCCCCCCTGCGCCGCCTAGGCCGCAGCTACATTTTCATCATTTTCGTGAGGAAGCCTCAGAAAAGAGGGTGTGTACAGGATCCGGTTGTTTTGTTGTAATCCGCTTTCCCTTGCAAAAAACAATAGAAAATGACATTTCTTGTTCTAATATAATCAAATTTCAAGAATCCCTTGCAAAAAATAAGGTAAAGTGGACATTCGCGCGCGCAAGACGAAATCCTTCCAAAACCTTAGTGTTCGCAGCGATTTTAACATAAAAACATCAAAAAACCAATGGTTTTTCAACAAAAAATTGTCAAAATCTCATCCCGCGCGCTCTTGCGGATTCGTAGGAAACCCAACACTTTTTAAACATTTCTGTCAAACGGGCTTTTGCGAGCAACCGAACTTCTGGACAACACCTCGGGACATCATCGGGTCATCGGGACAACGATCGGGACAAGCACAACCATCAGGACAACCATCGGGACAATCATCGGGACAACGATCGGGACAACCACAACCATCAGGACAACCATCGGGACAACCATCGAGACAACCATCGGGACAACCATATCCTCTCTCTCTTGTGTATTCCCACATCCCTCAGGAATTTGCCCTAAAGATGTGATCAACTATCTTGTGAGTACGTATCATGTGTATCATGTGTATCATGTACCATATGCATCATATGCAACAGATGTTCTGTGGAAGGCTTAACAACTTCTGTGGGTTAACAAGGCTTAACAACTTCTGTGGGTGTACGAACGTAGGCTTAACAACTTCTGTGGGTGTGTACTCCACGCCAGTGTAGTAGCCACGGTCGTCCGCAGGCCACGAAGTGAAGTGTCCGAACGTCATAGGGCGGGAAGCTGGGTGTGGGTGGTGGCGAAGAGTCGTGTGGATATTTGGTAGAGCTTGCACTGCCCCCCCACAAAGTGGGGGTATTGGCTGGCGTCGCATGAAAACCCTGGCACTGGTGAGAACACTGAGCGTTCGGGTAAAGTGATTGTTGTTGTTGTTGTTGTTGTTGTTGTTGTTGTTGTTGTTGTTGAATTCGCAGTTCGAAAGAAGAGTTATGGTTGGTCCCCCTGCCCGATAACCATGGCATTTGTTTAATTAAAATGCTTCTCTTGGGGCTCGCACCTGGAATTTACAAGGAAAAGCGAAGCGTTGCCAAACTGAGCCGTTGGCCCCCGGTGTACAACGACAACGGTTCCCGCCTGATACGTCCTCACAATGTATTCCCAATTCGCGCTCTTGCGCGGGACTCCTTCACATTGTATACAGGAATCGCGCTCTCGCGTGGGAGTTCCTCGCAATTTGTTCAGACGCCGCGCCTTCGACACTCAGGAATCACGTTTTCGCGATGGGTTCCCTCACGATGTATTTGGGAATCGCGCTATCGTTCAAGACATCCTCGCGATTCATGCAGTGTTCACGCTTCAGCCCCCCGCCTTCTCGACATGTCCGCTCGGGCCCGCCTTCCCGACCCGCCCGCTTACCCGCCTGATCTGCCCGTCTGGTTTTGCCACGTGTTCGCTGCTCCTAGGTGCTGGCCCCCCTCCTTCTACTCACTCTCGTGTTCCATCCTCCTCCCTCCCCCTTGTCCTTCCATCCATCCGTCTTCTCTTCCGTGCCGTAGGGGCTGCACGAAATACACGTTGCAGGTATAATATATATATATATATATATATATATATACACATAGATTTATACCCAAGGGGGTACGACCGAAGAAGAAGAAGAAGAGAGCGGGTATCGAGGGTTCGGGAACTGTCTTAACATGAGTGTGGATGTTGTTCTTGTTGTTGTCGTCATTGATGTTGCTGCTGTGTTTGTTGTTGTTGGTGTTGTTGTTGCTGTTGTTGCCAGTGTTGTTCGGTAAGGCGTTGACACCGGCCCCGGCTTGTTGTTGAGATGTTCTTCTTCTTCTTTCGAAACTCAAGCGCTTATCCTTAAGGATAGGCAAAGCTCCAGCAACCGAGGGCTTGCACCACGGGGCCAGAGAAGGGGTTGGCACTGGGGCGGCAGCGCAAGGTGCCCCATGGGTCCGGAGAAGGGGTCGGCATTCCTGGCGCGTTTCCAAAGGTTTCCCAAGGATTCCCGCGAATCCTTCAGGAT